GTAAATATATTTCTAAATAATAAATTAGATAAATTAATTCATGTTTTACTGCCTCCTGGATTCAGTTAATAAAATAAGGTTTTTAAGCTAAAATAAGCTTTATATAAACTATACTGATCCTTATTACTATAGTAATACAAAATAGGGAATATTTTATAAAAATTAGGCCTAAAATCAGTGCCTGAAGATCCCTGCCTATTTATAAATAATTATATAATTTTAATAATTTATATAAATGATATTATTTTACTATATAATTAAAATTATCAATCGAAAATCAACGAATTAAAAGATTAATTATTTTTGATATATAATTAGACTGCGGCATGGTCTTGGTCTTGGTTAGCATTTTGATAACCACCACCACAAAATTGTGGTCTTGGTTAGTGTTTTACTAACCACCACCTAACCACAAATTTTGTGGTTAACCAAAACCACTGTGTGGTTAACCAATGGTTAACCACGCTAGCATAAAACATGCAGATCTTTCCTAATATAGTCTCTCTATCTTCTTTATGCGTTTGATAACTAAGCCAGCATAATGTATCTTTACATATTGTTTTATTATTACAGTAACAATCTCTTCATTTTATCCTATTATGTTGGAAATTATTTGAAATCAGTTAGTATTAAGATATTTCGATATATTATTATCTTATAGATCTAATTAAAAACTACTTTTAGATTATGGTTATTACTGCCGGCTGGATTTGAGGATTTAGTGGTAGAAATTTTGAATATAAGAAGTGGAAATATATATTTAACTTAGATAGAAGATGATGCATCTTTTAGGTATAGAAAAAATAGATTATCTAAATCTACTAAAATCCTGATTTACTACTTTTTAGTTTTCCAGGGTTGTAGAGCTTAAATTTTTATATTTTTAAAATATTTTTAATAAAAGATTACTATATAAAATATTAAAGAACTTCCCATTTTTAAAATATAGATTGGTGGTTATTTAATGGTTATTCAGAAATATCTATAGTTATCTGTGGTTACCTGTGGTTACTTGTGGTTTTCAGCGGTTATCCTATGGTTATCTGTGGTTACCCGTGGTTACCCGTGGTTATCTGTGGTTAGTTCGTGGTTAACCATGAACTAACCATAGATAACCACACCAGTAGATATTAATAGCTAATTAGAGTAGATATTTAACTCTACTGTATACTTGCTTTTGCTATATGTCAAGCCCACGGTCGCGTTTATGTTTATAATCTTCCTACGGAATTCTGTAAGTCAAGTCCTCTTCTCTGTCCTTTACAGACTATTAGTAAAGATAGCATACACCTTCTTCTTTACAGACCAACTCTCTGACACAGGGTTTTATCAATCAGATGATCTTCTCTTCTTAACACCTTATTAAACTGCAACCTCTATCTCTCTATCTGACACTTTATAATATTTATAAGTTATATTACCTTCTTCATTTCAGCGTGTTGGATTTTATTTTTAAAAATTCTGGATACTTTTTGATATGGACCCAAAGATCCAACAATCTCGTCTTGATTTTACTGAATAGTGGCTTCAAACGGAGTTTAGTGCAAAAAAGGAAATAAATACATATATATATTAGGAGAGCAAAAAGAAATCTTCTGTTTAGGATTAGTTTGAGCAGGTGGCTCATGAGCGAACAGGAGAGCCAAAGATTATATGTAAATACTGCTTTGCAGTACTTACTCATCCTCATATGCGAAAAGGAGGAATATCACCTATGAAGACCCATCTTAAAGGTGGCACCTGTCATATAACACCTAAATAAGGTATTGATAAACTGATAACACAATAAGTAAGTATTAATCTCCAGTTAGACCCTCTATAACTAACAAATTTCAAATTATCTAGCTATAAAGATCCCTGAGCACCTCATTCTTAGATAAAACACTTGCCCAAAGTATCCTGTCTCTTATCCTTGTTGCGCGCCTTTTATTCTGTATTCTTGACTGTCCTGAGTTTTAATATCTTACAGATATCTTAGCTCTTGCTCTATTAAAAGTTAAGCTATTATTAGCACGTACTATCAGTCGATAGTTACACTCTAAGATTCGGGAAGGACAACAAAGTGTACTTGATAAACTACCAGAGGATGGTAAACTATCTTTATTACTTAACTATTGGACATTGCTTTTTAAACAAGGATTCATGGCTATTACTAGCTACTTCTTAGACAAGGATTGGGAGTATCGCGAGGCTCTTCTAGGTTTTGAGCCCTTTAAAAGCTCGCATACTGGACAGAATCTAAGCTCTGTGGTAATCGGGATACTTGAGTAATATAAGATTGCTAATCAAGTCTTATTAATCACAACTAATAATGCTACAAATAATAATACTATGATGGTAGGTATCCAGGATGAGCTTAGAAGTCGTGGGATTGGTAGCGATGGGCTTGGTAGTGGTATATTCCGTGTTCCTTGTCTCGCCTATGTGATCTAATTAAGTCTGAATCAGCTTCTCGGAAAGATGAAGGCGGCACTATCTAATAATGAGGTAGAAGATGAGTAGGATGATAATTGTAAGTGCTTAATATGGAATCAACAGCCTAAAAGAGAGATTGTCTATACTCTAAATAAGGTGAGTTCTTCTGAGCTTTACTTGACATCTGGCTAATAATTATTGATTTCTTCTTTAGATCTGCAATCTTGCTGTTTTTATTAACGCAAGCCCTCAGCGTCGTGATACATTTTTAATGACTTAGGCCTAAGAGCCTCGCCTTCTTCCTCTCTAAGATGTCCGAACTTAATGAAATTCAACCTTTCTGATGCTTGGGCGTGCAAAAAGACTACAGGAGAGCTTTCAGCGATACTGTATAGCTTATGGCTATCTCCATTTCCAGCTGGACAAGGAAGAGTGGCGTCAGATTGAGTATCTGCTCTGTATTACTGAGCCGTTCTTCAGATTTACTACTGCCCTCTCAAAAACTAAAGAACCTATTATTTATCTTATCTTTGGTATCTATAACAAGCTTTTTAACCATCTGGAGGACGCTGAGACACAGCTACGCCGGAAGCGGCTCTCTTAGAAGAAATTAATGCTGAGAGTATTATATGCTGCAAGAGAGAAGCTAGTGGAGTACTATCAGGCAACTGATGCTGAATTCTATAGAGATATCTATGGTATTGCTACTATCCTTACACCATTAAAGAAGCTCCGGTTTTTTACCTCAAAGGACTGGCAAGGCGATAGCGTTGACTGGGGTGTAAGATATCGTAAATGCCTTGAGAAGGAATTTCTGCGATATAAGCGGTAATATGGAGCTAAACTATCTGATACTGGCTCTGAGCAGAATTCATATAGAATAGACTATAAGCTTGAGATGATGGTTAACTCACAGACCTTTCTCTAACAGCCAGGTTCTTTTAAGGAAGAGGATGATGAGTTTGCTCGCTACTTAGCAAAAGGTAAGATCAAGTGTATTCTATATTATTATTTATTTATTAAGACTAATAAGGTTTTATAGGGCTTATATCTTAGCACCCTCGGCTATTTTGGAAAGAGCATTAACAAGAGTTCCCTATTCTAGCCCTTCTTGCCCGCGATATCCTTTTTATTCCAGCAAGTGGCGCAGGTGTTGAGCGTCTTTTTAACTGTGCGCGAGATATCTGTCACTACAGACGAGGCCGACTCAATATAACAATAATTAAAGAGCTAATACTTCAAATGTGTGCTGCGAAGTTTGAAGTTAAGCAAAAAGAGATTAATTTTATAAAGGAGCTTGTACTTGCAGGAGAGGCAGCTATAATTAAGCAGGAGCGGGGCTTAATAGCTTCTCTTCCAGCTTTGGATCCTATCAGTGATAATGAAGAGGAAGAGAGTGATAGTAATACTAAGGAGACAGCAAACGCAACAGGTACTTAAAAATAACCGCGAGGAGAAAATTCCTGTTTACAGGATTTAGAACAGACAGGACACGAGTCCCCAGAAAGCAAAGATACATAGTAAGTATCTTGAATTTACAAGAAGCCTAAGATGCCAGAAGGGTTCCAGATAGGACCTTTATAGCTGTAATAGTCTTAAATTATATTTCTTGGTTAGATTTCCTCCCTTAAACACCTAGGCAGTTTCTTTGTTCTATAGTCTCCGCGTTCTATGGATCCTGAAGATAATTTTGTATATAAAAATAGTCGGAATTCTCGTATATGACTAAAACAACAAAATTACCAAAAAAACAGCATAAAAATCTATCTATTTAGCAAGTCACGAGGCTTAGCATGTTTATATTGTTTGTATAACCATGGTTAACCAACTAACCATGGTGGTTAGCAGATTGCTAACCAAGACCTAACCACATGGTTAGGTGGTTAGCAAAATGCCAACCAAAACCACGAATTTTGGTCTTGGTTAGTGGTTAACCATGGTCTTGGTGGTTAGTGCCGCAGTCTATATATAATCTAAAGGATTTAGGTGAAATTTACTAATTTTTAAATATAAAGATTATTTAAAACTGGTAGAATTAAATAATTTAGCTTAATCAAGTAAATTATATTAAAAAAGTTGCTTACCGCTTTAAATTAGCTAATCAGAATTTACCTAAAATACCCCTATCATCCGGTAATTTAAGTAAATCTATAGGGTAACCGCTTACTAAGCCCTATGACATAGATTATTAAAAGAAAATTAGCTTAGTTTTATACCCTATAGTTATTTTTAAGCCAGATATTATAAAAAATTATAAAATCCTTGCAGAACACATAGCTAAACCTTATTTAAACTATATAAATATAGTAAATCACCTGATTTTATTTATTTATAAAACCCGATTTAATTTAATTTAATATAGTCTTAATTTAATAGATTAATTAAAATCACTACTAATTTTCAAAATAGCCAGTAATGCAGCTTATACAGATTTATTATAAAAAAAATTATCTAAAGGCTTTATATATTATTTATTTAGCAGACCTATTAATTAGTCAGCTAGAAAGCAAAAAATAATTACCTTATCTACTACCAAAGCAGAATTATTAGCCCTAATTACGGCTAGTAAGTATTTTCTATAGTAAAAACATTTATTTACTGCTATAGGGTTTAACCCTAAAAAAAAACTATATATTTATTATAATAATTATCAAACAATTAACCTACTTACTAAGCCTAATTTAATTTATAAAACTAAATTAAAATATATAAATATTAGTAATCACTGGCTCAGGTAAGAAATTAAGAAAAAATCTATTAAATTAAAATAGGTCCCTACTAATCAAATAATTATAGACAGCCTTATTAAACATCTGATTAAGCAGGAACATGCGAAATTTACTAAATAACTAAATATAGTTAATATTGAATATCTTATTAAATAATTAATTATTTAATATTTGCAGTTTTAATCAATACTTTTATTAATTTAAAACTGAAGGGGTATATTAATTAAGGTTATCTGATATTATCTGATTTATCAGAATCACCTGATTTAGCCCTATAACCGAAATTTACTGTGACTTTATTCTTACTTTATTAAACTCTTACTTCCACTACTAAATTATATAGGAGAAGTAAGGTAAAACTAAGCTTAATATAAGCAGAAAATAAAAAAAGAAAAATTTCTGAAAAATTTCTTATTTTAAACTAGCTTATCTTTTTAATTAGGAAATCACTGGTCACTAGAATCCTATAAAAATCAGAAAATATAATTTAATAAATTTCTTATTTAGAAAATTAAAAATTTATTTTAACCACTGTGATTAATAGCTTTGTTCAGATAATTAATACAAAAGATCTAGAATATCTTGCTTATTTATTTTATAAGCTATAAAGTAAATATTACTACTTTAGTTATTCTGATATTATTTAAATAATTTTATTATAATTTATATATTAAATCTTAATTATTCTAATTATTCTGATCATAAAATCTTAATCACTTGATTATTTAAATAATTAAATATTAATCTAATAATAATATATGAGGTTAATCTTAAAGGCCTAGATTAATAATATAACTTATAGATAAAGGCCTAAAAAGATCTAATAATTTTATGTTTGCAATATTTGCTTAGGGCCAGATTGAATTAGCCTTGATTTAATTATCTATAAATATATAATTAATAACCTGTATTAATTTATTTTTTTTATCAAGTTAATTTACCTACTTAATTTATTTAATTAAATTTTATTCATTTATTTAATCAATTTCACCTATCTACATACATAGCGAATGGTAGGACCTCTGGTCTATCTATTTCAGATCTAGGTGGTCCAGGTGAACTGTTTACTTCATCTGACTGATCGATTTTCCTTATTCTATCTAGCCATTTGAAATTTCTATTCAACCCATGTGACCTACCTACCCCATCTCACAATTAGTAATATGCTAATTAGTGTTAAACTAAAGTTAAATAATTAATTTAATAATTTAAACTCTTAATAAGGTATCTGATAGGTCAATAATATAAATATTAACTATTAATATTCTATATGTCAGATGGGGTAGGTAGGTCACGTGGGTTGAATAGAAATTTCAAATGGCTAGATAGAATAAATGAAATCGATCAGTCAGATGAAGTAAACAGTTCACCTAGACCACCTAGATCTGAAATAGATAGACCAGAGGTCCTACCATTCGCTATGCATGTAGATAGGTAAAATTGATTGAATGAATGAATAAAATTTAATTAAATGAATTAAGTGGGTAAATTAACTTAATAAAAAGAATAAATTAATGTAGGTCATTGACTGCATATTTATAGATAATTGAATTAGGGCTAATTTAATCTGGCCCTAAGCAAATATTGTAAATATGAAATTATTAGATCCTTTTAGGCCTTCACTTATAAGTTATATTATTAATCTAGGCCTTCAAGATCAACCTTATAGATTATTATTAGATTAATTTAGATGATTAAATAATCAAGATTTTATAATCAGAATAATTAGAACAATTGAGATTTAATATATAAATTATAATAAAATTATTTAAATGATATCAGAATGACCAGGATAGTAATATTTATTTTATGGCTTATAAAATAAATAGGCGAGATATTCTAGACCCTTTGTATTAATTATCTGAACAAAGCTATTAACTGTAGTGGTTGAAACAAACTTTTAATTTCTTAAATAGGAAATTTATCAACTTATGTTTTCTGACTTCCATAGGATTCTAGCGACCGGTGATTTCCTAAAGAGGAAGGTAAGCTAGTCTAAAATAGGAAATTCTTTAGAAATTTTTCTTTTTTATTTTCCGCTCACATTGAGCTCAGTTTCACCTCACTTTTCCTATATAATTTAGTGGTAGAAGTGAGAGTTCAATAAAGTGAAAGTAAAGTTGTAGTGGATTTTGAATAATTTCGGTTGTGGGGCTAAATCAGGTGATTCTGATGAATCAGGTAATATCAGATAATCCTAATTAACACATCCCTTCAGTTTTAAATTAATAAAAGTATTGATTAAAACTGCAAATATTGTATGATTAATTATTTAATAAAATGTTTAATATTGACCATATTTAGTTGTTTGGTAAATTTTGTATGTTCCTGCTTAATTAAATATTTAATAAGGCCGTCTGTGATTATTTGATTGGTAGGGACCTATTTTAATTTAATAGATTTTTTCTTGATTTCTTGCCTGAGCTAATAATTACTAATATTTATATGTTTTAATTTGGTTTTATAAATTAAATTAGGCTTAGTAAGCAGGTCAATTATTTGATAATTATTATAATAAATATATAGTTTTTCTTCAGGGTTGAACCCTATAGCAGTGAATAAGTATTTCTATTATAGAAAATGCTTACTAGCTGTAGTTAGGGCTAATAATTCTGCTTTGGTTGTAGATAGGGTAATCGTTTTTTGCTTTCTAGCTAATTAATTAATAGGTCTGCTAAATAAGTAGTATATAAAGCCTTCAGATGACTTTTTTTACAATAAGTCTATATAAGCTGTATTACTAGCTATTTTAAAAATAGGTAGTGATTTTAATTGATCTATTAAATTAAGACTATATTAAATTAAATTGAATCAGGTTCTATAGATGAATAAAATTAGGTGATTTGCTATATTTATATGGTTCGAATAAGGTTTGGCCATGTGTTTTGTAAGGATTTCGTAATTTTTTATAATATCTGGCCTAGAAATGACTGCAGAATATAAAACTAAGCTAATTTTCTTTTAATAATCCAGGTGATAGGGCTTAGTAAGTAGTTGTCTTATAGATTCGCTTAAATTACTAGATAGTAGAGGCATTTTAGGTGAATTCTGATTAGCTAATTTAAAGCAGTAAGTAACTTTTTTAATATAATCTGCTTAATTAAGCTAAATTATTCGATTTTGCCGGTTTTGAATAACCTTTATATTTAGGAATTAGTGAATTTTACCTAAATCCTTTAGATCATATATTAAAAATAATTGATCTTTTAATTCGTTGATTTTCGATTGATGATTTTGATTATATAGTAGAATGATATCATCCACATAAATTATTAAAATCATATAATCATTTGTAAATAGGCAGGGATCTTTAGGCACTGATTTTAGGCCTAATTTTTTCAGAGTATTGCCTATTTCTTGTTGCTATAGTAATAGAGATCAGTGTAGTTTATATAAAGCTTGTTTTAGCTTAAAAACCTTATTTCATTGACCGAATCCGGGAGGTGGTAAAATATAAATTAATTTGTCTAATTTATTATTTAAAAATGTATTTACTACATCCTATTAAGCTATTTTAAAATTAAAAGCAGTAATTAGGGCTATAATAGTCCTAAATGTTCGCGTAGCTAGGGTAATAGCCCTAGAATTAAGATTATTAATTGGTTAAAGGTCTCCATGAATGTATATTCTTGCTTTAAATTTTGATAATTGACCTTAATCAGTAAATTTATATTTCTATACCTATTTTAATAGTAGGATCTTTTAAATTAAGTTATCTGTTTTAGAAATGGTTTCCCAGGTGTTTATTTTAGTTAATTGATTATATTTAATTTTGTATGTATTTAGCTATTCATCGCGAAAGGGCGAATTCATTATTTTATTCTAATTAGTTGGCTTAATAGGCAAATTATTTTGATGTAATTTATTATTGCTAATTTGAGCTAATACAAAATTTTGAGACATTTTTGAAGGTCCTGGGTCAGGTGATTCTGACCTATTTCTTTTTAGAGATAGTAGTTCATAAAAATCGTCATAATCATTAAAATTAAATAGTGAATTATTAATAATGACTTCGGGTGATTAAGAATGCGGGGTAGGAGGTTGATCTCCTAAAATCTCATTACTTTGAGTATTTGATTGAATTAAATTATTTTGATTATTTTGATTATTTAATTTAATTTGATTTTTATGTTCGGGCTCATAGTAAATAGGATTATATTCACTAGATAGTTCTGATTTACTTTATTCGGGTTTAGAATGAATATCATTAATAATTTTATCCTTGGTAAACCCTAATTCAGTGGTTTCAGGTAAATTAATCAAAATTAAAGAGATTAAATCATTAATTTTTTCAAGACTAAGTGGTTCGGGGTTTTCTAACCCAATTAGGTCTAGTTTGAATATTTGAATATTTTGTTTATTTTTATAGACCTTTATTTTATTAAAGATATAATTATATGCCGAAATAACCTTATTTTGACCAGGTATCCATATTCTCTATATATTTAGGGTAATGTACCCTATCAGATAGCTAATTAGAGCTCTCGGTTTGAGCTTACTAAGCCTAAGGATATTTAAAATCTTTATATAGGCTCGGCAACTATACTGTTTTAGGTTAGAGAGGTTTAGTAGTAATATTATATATAATAAAAGCTAATTAAGATGTTTGAATAAGGTTTCATGCAGGGTACTCTACTTTAGTGAATAAGTGGGGGTGTGATTTAATATATATATTGTTATATTTAATAATTCTGGCCATAAATATGGCAGTAATCCTGAATTAATAAATAAAATTTGTATTTTTTGCGTGATTAGAGCACCTGAATACTCTGTAAATAGATTCTACTTGGGTTATTTAATCGGGCTAGTACTGCAGATCACCCCTTCAGATCTCGTGTAATTATAAAAATAAGCTAGATTTTTATCTTGATCTGAATAAAATCGTTTGATAGTTATATGATATTAATGTTTAATAAATTAAATTATTTTAATAATTGAATTACTTATGTGATCTTTTAATAAAATTGCTTTAGCCATATAGAATTTTGAATAGAGGCAATATATATAGC